CAGCAGTACATTTGGTTGTTCAGTTTTCACGAAAGAATAAGAATACATGTGAATTCCTGGGTAGTTTGGAGTTGCCTGGCTAGTTGGACAAAGGCCCGGGAGGAGCAAGATGGGATGATGAGAGAGAAGGGATGTGCGTGGACCTGTGGGAATGGGTCACTGGGAATCGTGTTGCACCCATCAGAACATCCTCCAGGGGAGGCGCTCGACAACAGCTTGTGACTTCCAGTTCTGGGTAGGTTGTGGCAGGCCACCACTCATGCTGCCACAACTCAAAAAGCTGGATACATTTCAGGAATCATGTCTTTGAAGATTTTGGAGAGCTCTGGAAGCAAAGAGGATTGCATAGCCTAAAATTCCAGAGAAGGGAGAGACTTTCTGAAGTCAGCAATCTGTTTCCAGCATTTTCCTTCCCTGGGGGCATCTGCAGATTCTGGACCTGGGAAAAGGATCAGGCTTGGTGAACATAGAGGGAATTTATCAGGGGAAAAGAAACCAGCAAAACTTCTGGCAAGTCTGTGCAGGGCTGGTGTGATCATTGAGAAACTTCAGGATCCCAAAACAGATAGCTGGGTTTTCGTTTGCTAAATTCTCAGGCTACTTGGGAGGCCAGGGAGAGTCAATTAAGATAGATTGAAATCTCCTGTGGCATCCCAGAGGATTAATCAGACTTTCCGTTTCTTCTTGCGTGAGGTTTTAGCCAAAGGCGTCAGGCGAGTGCGTGCCCAGCTTATTCTTCCCAAAGTTTCAAATTAGGTGATTTACTCTGCCCTGCAGTGGAAGGAATCAAGGGGTGGGAAGAGGCCGTCAGGCTCCCCGAGACACTGGGGCAGTGTGGCTGCTCAGACCAGTCCTCCTCCCCACAGCTTTGCAGGCTGCCCAGCTGTCCCCACATGTCCCCTCAGTGTGCTCCTTGAAAGAATCCCATGTGTAGGCAGGGTAGAGAGTATTACCCCGTTTTACAGAAGAGGAGTTTGGTCTTGAATAACTTGCCTGAAAGGACACAAGTGCCAGGTGTCTCAGACACGTTTAGAACTGCGGACCCTCAGTTCTCTTTCCACTGCCAGGCTGCCGAGCTTTAAGGGTAAAATAAGGAATGTGAGCCTGTGAGAGCCAAGACCTGGCTGAGGGGTGCACTGCTGTCCCCTAGGGCCTCCCTGACACAGGGCTTGTACACAAGGTGGCACCAACACTTGAATGAATGACAGAACAAGGCCAAGAAAGTCTGAAAGGAACAGATGACCTCCCAGTGAGGGTCATTGAGGCCAGGGTTACAGGCCATTTGTCTTTGGTTTTGACGGAGGGCTGAGACTGCCCTTGCAATATTCTTAGAGATTTGCACTCTGGATGCTCTTACCTTAGAGCCGAAGTGGGAAGTTCTGTGTCTCCGCAGGCCGGGCCACATTTCAGTTGACATGGGGCCAGCACAGCTAAAAGGAAACATCTGTGCAGGGTGATGGTAGGGGTGGGGATGGCTTCATGTTGGGCCAGAAGTTTTCATGTTGTTTGGGCTAATAGTGGGTGGAGTGGCCAGAGCTTGTTTTGTATAACTCTGGCTTCCAACAGCTTTGGCAGGGGATGGGGGGCTGGGGGGCAGGGAATGCTTGAAAACTGAAATGTGCCTTCAGAGTTCTCTTCTGATTTTTCTGCCTCTGGATTTTATTATCAAGACCATTCTTCGTGCAGGGAAGTTGGTATGAAAATACTGGGCCTGGAGGATGTATGTTATTTCCTTAAGGGCTGGTCACTCATGAGCGTTAATCCAGCATCACTCTCATGTCCCAGAGTGATGGCCAAAGTGCCCGCTGGGGCCCTACTGGCTGCCCCATGGGCTGGCTGAGGTCTCATGGACAGCGCCAGCAGAAGGAGATCTTTACTGCAAGGAAGGTGAAATTGATATCGTCCTCCATATACGAAGGATGAAATGGACTCCACCAGGGCTATCGGTGGATCATTGCACTTGACCACAATGGTGGTCCACACCTGGCCAGGGAGAGCTGGGGCTGGACAAGGGGATCTGGATATTTAGTAGCCATAAGCTCAGCATTGGCAGCAAATGAGGCATGGCTGCTACAAACAGCCCATGAGCCTGTGGCCTTCTGAATAGAGGATCTAGTCTGACCATAGGAGGTACAAGCCCCTGCCCATGGGCAGGCCCCTTGAGAACATGTTTTGTTCTGGGATCTGTACCACAGTAAAGATAGGAACAGGTGGAATTCTATACAAAGGCGATTTTCTGGAAGCTTATAAAAGTCCAGGAGCCATATTGTCTCCCAACCAAGTTGGGAGAAGAAGAAAGGAACCTGGAGAAGGGACACCGAGGAACATGGACAATGAGGGACATGCTGGCCAGTTGCCGACCTCGCACGTGATTGCTCCAGGGGCCAGGACCATCCACCACTGGGTGATGTCCCGGAGGCTGACTTGTCCCACCACAGCGGGTGCTTGATGACAAGCCATGTATCTAACAACGAAACTGGTTGCTTTTCAAGTAATGAGCTGCCTGTCCCTGGAAGGGTTTAAGCAACATATGGAGACATGACAGGGTCAGTGGACAGGGGCGTCCCACATCAAGGGGTGGTCAGGCTAGAGGGCCTCTTCCAAACTGCTTTTTAACTTTTTTGGGGGGGAGGTGTGGTATATTTATGGGTTTTTTTTATTTTAGAATATTACAGGGGTACAAACGCTTTGATTACATGAATTGTTTTTGTACAGTTTGAGTCAAAGTTGTAAGTGTATCTGTCACCCATATAGTGTGCATTGTACCCGTTAGGCATGAATTTACCCATCCCCTCGTCCCCCCTGCTTTTTAACTTAGAGATCGAGAGACACTGAGTCACTTGCATTTTTTGAGGCCCACCACAGCAATTATAAAATGCCAAAATGCCAAAACAGGATTACAAAAAATAGTGATGCATTTTAAATGTTTACTTTTAATGAAATAGCACTGTTAGTGCACACAACTATGACACAGGGCAGTGCATTATCCACAAGACAGGACTTACCCTTAAGACATCATTCTGAGGGTGCTACAGCTGCTAGTGATGGGGACAAGTTTAAAGTTGTGAGATGAACTTGTCTTCTCTCAGAACTGGTGGTCTCTCTCCACACTGTGTAGACCTTTCTTGGGAGACAAGCCAAGCCTAAACCTGAAGAGGCTCCAAGCCAAAGACACTTCCCCTGCCCTGATTCTGTAGAAGTCATCGCAACAGCACAGGTGGACTCCCAGGTGTTTGTAGAGGAGCCCTAATGCACTCACACACACACACCCGTGCACACACACACACACACCTTGAAAACTGCAGGTAAAAAGACTAAAGACATTGCTCACTGCCTAATGGAACTCCCTCCTTCCTGAAGTATGAAGAGCTCACTTGTTAGTTTAAGCAGAAAAGAGTCACACTCCCCCCAGCGAAGGTGTGGCTCCCCCTGGCATGGGGGCTAATGTTGCACAGGTGCTCACTAGCTCTCCGCCGCATCCCTGGGCACCCAGTGCAGCCCCCACTCCACAGCCAAAGTGCTCGCTGCATGTGCTCTGATCCAGCCCTCCCCAGCCTGGCTCTCCACTGGCCTCCCACGGCCTCCAGGCTAGGGTCCCAAGTCTTTTAATGTGGCCTAATAACCCCATTGAACTACATCTGCAGCGTTATATTTTTCCCAGCCCCATTCTCCTCTGCTCCAAATCTTTGCTCGTATGTTCCCTGCCTGGAGCCCTATCCACATTCATTCAATGCCCTCTCATCTGGCCAAGCCCTCTCTGTCCCTTCCTCAGTGTGGGGCTGCATTCCCTGCCCTGCCCTGGCCGCATTTGGTGCCCTGTGAGACCCTACCGCAGTCCTGAGGGCCTTAACCAGCAGCCTATCCTGGAAAACTTGGGGCCTCTGGCTGCCTTGCATTTAGTAAGCATACTACTTCCATTTCCCTACCACTGAATGGCCGTAATAAAGTTGGGCCAAGGTAAGAAAACCAGGAAAGCGAAGGAGTTTTAAAAAAAAGAAGAATGTTAATTTTCCCTTGCCATCTGCCATCCACCCAGAGTTCCAGGAAGCAAGGCCCCTTGTTAGGTTATGTAATCATCAGGCCCCAAATTGCCTCCCCAAGGGCTCAGCTGCAGATACAAAACGCTGTCCCACTCTGAAGAATGTGAGAGGTGGAGCCCAGTGTCGTTAAAGGGCCAGGCAAGCTCTCTGCTCCCTGCCCAGGGCTCCCACCCTTGGCACGATCCCAGCGCACTGGGCCAGCCACGCTAGTTTCCTGCAGAACACACCCCTCCCTAAGTCAGATGGGGCAAGGCAGGGGCCCCGGAAGGCAGGGAAAGCCTGAATTACACAGTGCTGTATTTTATTTTTGAAAAATTTCAAACTCCAAAAATTGGCAAGTACAGTACAAAAAACATTTTCCCCCTGAACTATTTGAGTAAGGCCACATCAGTGTGTTCTGCCCCACTTTGGGCTTTAGGACAGGACTGCTGAGAAAAGGGAGGCAAAGAAGGAATGGATTCCCTTGTATTTTTTAACCAAGAAAAGTGCATCAAATACATAGAGACAGTCCTACAAAATAATCATAATGAACCTGATTCAGGTTCCAATCAGGCGGCCAGCCCCCATCACTCTGTAAAGGGCATCGCTGCCCCTTAATGGCTGGGCAGCTTGGGGAAATCCCTTAACCTCACCGAGCCTCAATTTCCCCAACTGTAAAGTGGGGACATGACAGTCCTTCCCTCATGTTGTTGCTGTGAGACTTCTGTGAGCTAATGGCAGTGAACAGCCTGAAGTAACGGCTCAATAGATGTGAGCTATGGCAACTACCACGTATTTCTCAAAATCCTAGAAAATAATGACTCTTTTTTAGGAGGCTGGGCCAGGCTGCTGGGTGGGTGTTCCCTGGGCAGCAAGGCTCTGTGGCTCCCAGGCCTTCTTCCTTTTGCAGGCAGGCTTTTGTGTTTGTTTTTTATTTTTGGCAAGCCTGCAGCGGAGTCTGGAAGGGTTTCCTGGACAGAGGTCCTTGGAGCTGCTGCCTTAAGACGTGCAGCCCGGGCCGTGGCTGCCACTGTGTTCTGACCCAGACCCACTGCAGGCAGCAGCATGGAGCTTTGGGGGGCCTACCTGCTTCTGTGCCTCTTCTCCCTCCTGGCCCAAGTCACTGCCGAGCCACCAACCGTCAAGGTCAAGAAGGCAGCAAATGTCAAGAAAGGTAAGGAGGGGGACAGGGCCCCTCCCCCTCTTCCAGGGAGCAGGTCCCCCTCTCCTTCACGTGTCCTCATGCTCCTTCCCTTCATTTTCCTCCTGGATGAGTCAGCTAGGGAACTTTAGTGAAGTGCCCTCTGGGACCTGGGGGTTCTCTCATAGCAGAGCTAATTGTCAGAACCGTAAGGATTCCTGACTCTCAGAGTCAGAAAGAACCTTCCAGATCATCTAAACTGTCCTCTGCTCTCCCTATCCTTCCCAAATATTTTAAAGAAACCAAGCCTTTGGCTTGGCCATCTGGAGATGCTCGATCTCACCAGGGAACACGATACAGGCTGTGCTTTGTAAGCTCCCGACCTCGGTTTTCTCCACTGTAAAGTGGGGACAGTAGTATCTGCTCAAAGGCTTGTCCTGAAGATTTTATGATACAAAATATGTAAAGCCAGTGATACTCTTGATGCACAGGGGGGAAAAAAGGAACAAATGAATTCTAAATTCCATAGTGTATCACAGCCTTGAGGAAATAAATATGTTCAACCTCAAACTAGTGTGCTAGAAGCAGCTTTGCTCTCCTCTGTGGCTTCTGGGGTTTGGGGTGTCCTTGGGTTGCCCTGGCTGTAGCAAGACCTTCCCTTGCAGCTCCGCCTGTCGTGAGGTCACGCCAAGCTGTGTTGAGACAACAGCAGTGGAATGCCATGGCAATGAACCGGGCTGTCACCCCCGTGGGGATCATAGACAAGGAGAGAGTTCAAGGGGATAAGGGAAGGGTGGGGATTTAGACAGAGAAATGGCCAGGACCAAGAGCACCGATAAAGGAAGAAAGGGGTGTGGGGGTTCCTCAGGCCCTCTGTGGGGCTCTTCCATAAATGGACAGTTGCCCTGGGCCAGGAACTAGTGAAGTACATAGAGGTACAGCAGGGCCATGGAGCCCCACAGGCTGGCACAAAAGAGGGGGCAGATCCGGGTGCTGGGAGAAGATCATCTCCAAGATTCAGTTTACGAAGTGAACAAAGAAAAGTTCAAAACAGAATGGGTACTATGCTGACGTTAGCTTTGAAAAGGAGATTTGTATAAAAACACCTATTTCCTTGTGTATGTATAAAATTTTTCTGGAAGGATCCACAAGAGTTAGTGACAGCGATTAACTCTGGGAAGAAAATCTGGGAGACTGGGGGCAGTCTCGGTTGGGAGGGAATTGTTTGGATTTTTAAAAGTTATATGCATATATTACCTGCTATACAATGCTCATTTAAAAAGAGAAGACAATGTCATGCATGGTTATGTCTGCGAGCATTAGTCAGAATTGCCACCAAGGGACATTCTTTGTAAAGGATGCAGCTCCAAAGACAAATAATGGAATTTTCAAAAGTGGAAAATAGTTTCCAATTTCTCAAGGTTACCAAAGACTTAATATTTATATATTCAATTGTGTAATTCCTGCATTCAAGCGTGTGAGAAAGGAGCAGCTCACAGCACGCAAGGCCTCGGTCCTCTCCAGCTGTCCCACTCGAGCCCTGGCCCTAAGTGGTCTCCATGGAAGCCCCTGTGGGTCCAGGGCTCTGGAAGCCTGCAGAACAGCGACAGGGCACCAGTGGGACGGCCACCCAGCCCTGCGTCTGGCTGAAAGCTCTTCAGTGTTCTGACTCGGCTTGGTGTTTCTTCCTTCCACGCACCTCCACGGCAAACGCTGTGGAGCTCTCTCCACGCAGGGCCGATGTATATGCTGGGGACAACAGCAGAGAAACATTGCTCCTCCTCTTAAGAGGCAAGCCGTGCTGGCTCTCACTCAGGCATCGGCATCATCTGGGGGACACGTTCAAATCCATGTGCCTGGGCCCCGCCCCTGGAAATGCTGGTTTAGGGGTCTGGGCGGGTCCCAGCATCTGCCTTTTGTGTAAGTCTCCGGTGACCCCTAGGAGCAGCCAGGCGTGAGAAGCCCAGGAACAGTGTAGCTGTGGGACTGGTGCCCAGAAGTATGGGAGGGGGTCCAGAGGAGGGACAGTCATGCCCGAGAGGACCACTTGGTGCCCAGGCCAAAAGGTAGAGAACACACTGGCGGTACGGCTGAAGGGAGGGAAGGACAGCGTGTGCTAAGCCCCCATCCTGGCCCCAGAAAGGGGTGAGAAGGGGGGACCCTGTGGTACTTTTGGGAGCTCATCTGCTCCTGGGGCTACCTGGCCACATGTGGCCCAGGAGCTTAGGAGGGCAGGATGGCCTCATAGGGGTCACGAGCCCTTAGAACAGGGACCTGGGGAGACCTGGAGGACATCCATCCCAATAACACATGTCAGGAACCTGAGGCTGAGAATCTGAGGGGCAGCACAAGGGCCTCCTGACTCCTCGTACGGGGCAGTGGAGACACCCCCACTCCCACACCGTCCTTGGGGTGAGCATAATGCTGTGAGCTTCTTGTTCCTTGGCCAGTCCCTGGAGGACCCTTAGCACATAAAGGCTTCTTGGTGCAGATTACAAAAGGTACTCTCTCTGAACTGGCAAATTCTAGAAAGGCACTCCTTTTTCTGTTCTGGCCCAGCCTAGCCAGGGCAAGGCTTAGGAGCTGAACATAGGCCTTCACTTGTCCGCTCAGCTGATTGTGCAGTACCCAACTTGCACAACCTCACCCGACGCCCTCTTCTGGTGCGTCTTGTGCCTGGGTACAGAGCGGCTGTGAACTGACTGGGGCGGAGGCCCTGTGGGGGGCACACATAACCCCAGGCTAGTTTGCCAGCCCCAAATCCTCCCTTTTTTGCCTTGCTCATCTGGGTGTTATTTTCCTCATGTTTGATAAGTTACATCACAAATTTCTGTATATACAAGTACGTGTCTTGCCTGTGATTCCGCTGCAAAGGCATCTGTGGGCGGACAGAGGCTCTGCTCTCCTCATGCACGTGGATGTCGCGCAGGCACAGCCAGACGGGCCATGGAAGTGTTTCCCCACCCTCTGCCCCAAGCCGAGTGTGGCCTTTCCTGAAGCCCTGGGGTTTTAGGAAACCTGGGGTCTACCCCAAGAGCTCTCAACTTACACACACACGGAAATATGTTTCCCCTCCTGCGCCTGCGTAACCGGCTCTGTGTGCCGTCATGAAGGGGGTTACTCGCATCGTAGGTGGGTGATGAGCATCACACGAGATGACACATGGGAAGGTCATACCCAGAGCCTGGCCTGCAGTGGCTACTCCATAAAAGTGAAAACCCTAGGTTCCTTCTGCCCTCGCATTACTAGCAGCTGTGATGGGCACACACTCCGTCCCATGCTTCATTCCTCTCAGTCTTCTCCAGAGTCCTCTGAGGTGGGGCTATTTGTCTCCTTGTCACACAGGAGGAAACTGAATTGAGAGAGACGGAGCAGCTTGCCCAGGCTGCCCATGTCTGGAGACCTCCGGGCCCAGGCACATGCTTGTCCCCGGCTGGCATGATGCCCTGCTGGTCTGTGCCACGTTCTTCCAGCCTGTGGAGTGAACTGGGGGGCTCGAGAGGGCTCCTGCTTCCTGTGCTGTTCTCCTCTGGAGCTGAGAGGGTGGCTGGGTGGTTGGGGGTCTCCACCGAAGGCTCTGCCCCTGCTAAGCCCAGCCCCAGCTGATCCCGTGACGAGGCTGCACAAATGCACTGCAGGTCTCCCTCCAGCAGGAGCAAGTGAAGGCTGCCCCCCTCCCCCCACAGAAGGAAACTCTTGAGGATCAAGTGGACCCCCACCAGCATGGACAGAGAGAGAGAAAGTATCCCAAGATACCTGGTTGAGGGGAGTCATTTCCCCTTGTCCTTTGCGGCTGACAGAGGTCCCTGCCCATCCCTGCCCTGCCTCGATCCCTACTCTGCTGCCTTCCTCACATATTTCCTCCTCTTCATCCCAGATGTTGTGAACCCAAAGATGTTTGAGGAGCTCAAGAGCCAGCTGGACAGCCTGGCCCAGGAGGTGGCCCTGCTGAAGGAGCAGCAGGCCCTGCAGACAGGTGAGTGCAGGTGGCAGCCTCTCTGTACAGGAACGCCTGAGAGAAGGGCCTAGGCCAGCAGCCAGCAACGCACCTGTCACCCCTAGCCAGCACACAGCCGGGCTCCGTAGGCCAGGCCTGCAGGCCAGGGCACCAGGTTCAGGGAGCCGCACCCCTGAACTGCTTCCTCTTGGGGAGAGCCCCTGACCCGTGTCTGCAAAACCCACCTAGGCGTGCATGGACAAATCTGGCCACAGCTGGGTGGTGTGGAAGTGGGATGTCCCAAGAGGACAAAAGGCTCTCCGACAGGAATCTGTCACTGCCCACCAGAAGCGTGACCCCTGGAGTACTCTGTGGGGCAGGGGTAGCTGCCCCTCCTTTTAACAAAACCCCCAGGGCCTCCACTCAGCTGGCTTCTGCAGCCCCCAGGAGCTTCATGACTCTGTTGTCAGCAGCTTCACTGACCCGTCTCTCCCAATCATCACGACCGCGGTGAGCAGGATTTCTCATCCCCGTCTTAAAGAGGTGGCAGCTGAGGCATAGAGTCCTGCACCCACTGCACCCCCCCCTGGCTGGTTAGGGGCATAGCAGAATTTGAGGGGAAGCAGCCTCGAGCTGTGCCAAGTGTTGGGAGAGCTGGCTCTGCACTAGCCAGCCGAGTGACAGTGCACAAAATCACAAAGCCGTGGAGCCTGGGTGCACAGTAAGGTCACAGCCACTGCCCCCGCACTGTCTGGCCAGCCTACCCTGCAGCGTATCGCCTCTCTCTCCACCATGTTCCTGTCATATTGTCTCCATTTCCCACACACTTCAGACTCACTCCTACGTGAGCTTGCCCTCCCTTCCATGGAGGATATTGACTCACAGTAATAGTAGTTAACAGTTACACGTGGGCTTACTACGTGCCTGGCACTGCGTACGTGCTGGATGCAAGTTAACTCATTCACAGCAAACCTACGCGGTGGGCTGTTACAATATCTTCACTCCCATTTTCCACCGGGGCGCTGAGGACCCCGTGGACAGCCAGAAGGAGCAGAGCCTCACTTAGCTCTGCTATGCTGTCTCTCGTCATCCACTGAGAATCACGCTGACTCCTCCTTAGCAAATCTACAAACCTCCCTGCATCCTGTCTCTTCTCTGACCAAGGCCCACCCGTCTGCAAGGCCCTCTCCTCCCCTCCTGCCTGCTCAGAAGCCTCCAAGATCCTTCTCACTGGGCAGTTTTTACACACTCCCTCCCACTAGATCCTTCCTTTCAGCATTCACATTGGCCATCCTTTTGTCCTTCTAAAGTGCCACACTCTGCCCCTCCACCACAGGGCCTTTGCACATGCTGTTCTGGCAGCCTGAATCGCTCCCCCAAGATCCACCTAATAAATGCCTCTAGAATTACCTTCTCAGGAATCTCTAATCCCTCCTCTCAATCAGGCTCCTCAGTTAGAAGCTCTCACAGAACAATGTTCTTTTCTTTAACACACCTACTGCAGTTTGTAATGGTATACTCATGTGTTGACTTACGTCTGCCTCCCCCTACCAGACTGTAAGCCCCAAGTGCACAAGGGCCATATTTGCTTTTGATGGCCCTTGTCTGTCCCACCACCCTCCCCAGCACAGTGCCTGCCACGTATCAACAGTACTCAGTACATCTTTGTTGAAGGAAGGACCACACATGACTTTGGACAGCTTCCCTAACATGGCAGGTGAGGGGACAGGGCTCTAGAAAGGGAGCATCTCCAGAGAGGTTTTTGACTTCAAGTATCAGGAAACCTAATAGTGGCTTAAATAAAAAGTGAGTCTGCAAGTAGGCAGCTATAGGTTTAGTTCAGAAGCTTCACCTCACACTCCCAAAATGGCTGCCCCAACTCCAGGCCTCATGAGTACATTCAGATGAAGAATAGGGAAGAAAGGTGGCCCAGCCAATCTGCCCCATTTATCAGGAAAGTAAGAGTACGCACTTCCATCCTACTGACCAGAACTCTATCGTATGGCCACCTGGAGCTTCGAGAGCATCTGAGAATGCAAGAATGTGGCTTTTCCAGCCTCTATAGTGGAGGAAGACAAGAGAGACAGGAGTTGGGAAGCAACATGTCTGCCAAGGAGGGAATGCTAAGAATGCACACAATGCCACCCTGGGCCTCAGTTTCCTCATCTATAAAGCAGGCGTAGGGGTATATCTGCAGGGTAAGCCCTAAGGTCTCCCTCATGGCCCAGCTCTGTGCATGCAGTCAGTGCAGCCCAGGTGCCACTTGGCCCCTGAGGTGAGGTAAAGTGCTGGGGACCTCCCTGCACAAAGTTCAGGACATACGGAGGTCCAAAGCAGCCTCCTCCATGTCTGCTGATTCCCAGGAAGCTCAGGGCCTCCTGGTCTCCCTGGGGGACCTTCTCCTGCTCATCATCCTCTCCTTTAGTACCACAACCCACAAGTCACCTTGTCAACAAACCCACCCAAAGCATTCCTGAGCCCTGGCGACCTAACTAAAGAGTTGAGGAAATCAGGGTTAGGGGAGGTGACCCTTTGCTTTCCCAGTCAGCGCGCCCACCTGGCACATTTCTGCTGGGCACGAGGAGGCAGAGGTGATCCAGCCAGGGCCCTACACCCAGGGAGCTTCGACATATTCGTGGAGTCACTGGAGCCCGTAAAGCACGTGCAGGAGTTAGAGAAGATGACGAGGACTGACTCCACGCAGAGGGCAGGGCGGGAGCAGAGGTGTGGAGGCGGCTCCCGTGAGTCAGCAGGATCTGGAGGCCAGAGCAGCTAAATGTCAGGAGCGATGACAGCATCGCGGAAACAACGCTGACTGAGGACTGACTGTGCTGGAGAGAGCGCTGTAGGCAGCGTTCCCAGGAAGCAAACCAAGGGGGCCTTTAGCTCTTGGGATCAGCACCCGTGGAAGGGAAGGGACAGAAAGAAGCAGGGTGGGCAGAGGGAGAAGTCCAGCTGCGCTGTGGTCTCCATGAAGGACTCAGCTGACTGCAGAGGGAGCCCCGATGACGGATGACCCTTCAGCACTGTCCTGAGTAGGGGAGGAAGGGATCATTGGTCAGTCACTGGGTGCAGGCTGCTCTGAGGAGGTGGCACAGCCTTAGAAGCGGTGCCTGTCTTCTGCAATCCTCACAGGAGGTGGAAAGCTAAGGGCTGTCTTCCTGCAGCACTCCCCGGCCCCAATATAGTAAGTTCCGCATCCCCAAAGGGGTCTAGGTAGCGTGTCACAGTGTCCCAGAGGAAGGAAAGGCAATGAAGGCCGGCTGGTCTAGGCTGCAGGCTAGCAGGAGGTAGGGCAGCTGACTCCGGACAGAGCCTGCAGTTAGGCACCTCTGCCACGCTTCGGGCCCCACGCTTAGAGTGGTCTCAGGTGCTCACTGGGACATGGAGATGCTGCTCCCTCAGTATTTGCTGAGTGGAGTGGAAGCAACTGAGTGGGTGGGTGAGTGAGTGAGTGGACGGGATGGGGTGGAGTGCAGACCTCCAGCTAACATTTATAGTGGCAAGAGGACAAATACACCCCATCTGTCTAGATATTTATATTTCCATTAGAATTCAAGGTAAAAAAACAAACTGCTAAACGAAAACACATTCTATACTCATAACTCAACCAAATATGCACCTCCATCCCCACCTTTGAGGCCAAGTTCAAACAGAATTTGTGGACTCCTCAGATCTCTCTGCCCAAAAGCCGGCCCTGGTCCACAGGCTGTGCCCAGCCTCCTGCCTTCTCTTCTGTCTGAGGGTCCTGCAGCTCAGCTCCACCCTCCCAGCCCCGCCCCGCCTGCCCTCCGGAGAGCTGATCCTTGCAGGCCCTGGAAGCATTAGCCTCTTGGGCAGGGATTTCAGGCCCCGGGCACCTGGTGTGTGGTCTAGGCTCTAGGTAGGCAAGTGCCATGGCTGGATCTAGGGAGGAGTGTGGCCAAAGGGGGGCCAGAGCAGGTGGCTGGGCCACCTGGGAAGCTGACTCTGAGATGGAGTTAATTTATCAGGGAGAGCCCTTGGGTCCACACCTGCGGAGGGTGGGGAAGGAAGCAGAACTGGGCAGACGGAGAGCTGAGCTGTAGTGTAGGGCCAAGGCCAGCCTTTGTGACCCCACGGGTGCCCCAAAGCTGAAAGGGCAGAGATGGCCTGGCTTTTACACTCCCCATCCCTGAGGCACTGAAGGTGGGTGCCCTGGGCAGGGCTGTGACCTAGGGCTGGGCGCTCTGCAGCAGAGGGGGCCTACCTTACTTGAGTGGGGACCTGGGCCTGCATGGCAGTGTCCACAGAAGGGCCTCAAAGGGGAGGAGGGGGATCAAGGCCAGCACCCCTCCAGCCTGTGTCCAGGGGCTGTCCAGGCCCAGTGGGATGGACCGGATGGGATGGAGGACTGTGGGCCTGCCCTGGGCACTTGGCTCTTGGCTCAGCAACCTGGGGACCTTTGGTGACAGCCATCTCTCCCCCCTCCCAGTCTGCCTGAAGGGCACCAAGGTGCACATGAAGTGCTTTCTGGCCTTCACCCAGACGAAGACTTTCCACGACGCAAGCGAGGACTGCATCTCGCGCGGGGGCACCCTGGGCACCCCGCAGACGGGCTCGGAGAACGACGCCCTGTACGAGTACCTGCGCCAGAGCGTGGGCAACGAGGCCGAGATCTGGCTGGGCCTCAACGACATGGCGACGGAGGGCTCCTGGGTGGACATGACCGGAGGCCGCATCGCCTACAAGAACTGGGAGACGGAGATCACCGCGCAGCCCGACGGCGGCAAGGCCGAGAACTGCGCCGTCCTGTCCGGCGCGGCCAACGGCAAGTGGTTCGACAAGCGCTGCCGCGACCAGCTGCCCTACATCTGCCAGTTCGCCATCGTGTAGCCCGCGGGCGGGGGCGGGGAGCCCTTGCAGCCCGGAGCCCCTCCGTGCGCTTGGAGCCGCCTTTTGCAAATAAAGTTGGTGCACCTTCGGGCCGCAGTGGGTGCTGGGTCCGCGGGGCGGGAAGGAGAGAGCAGCAGCCGGCCGGGCTCGGTGCGCGGGCTGCACACCACCCGTGGGTTCTCCAGGGGAGGACGGGCGGAGAGAACTGCGGAGAGCGGGGAGGGAAGGAATCCGGGAGACGAGAGAACCCTGGCTTGCTGCCTTCTTTTTTCTTTTTATAACTTTTTATTTTCACTTAATTTCAGATTTACAGAAAAGGTGTAAGAATCTCTGGATCCCCAGATATTAACATTTTCCCCATATTTGCTTTAACTTTTTCTTTTATTGCTTTTTGACAGTAAATTGCAGACACGATCTCACTTTACCCCTAAATACTTCAGTGTGTGTTTCCTGAAAATAAGGATAGTTTCTTACACAGCCACGGGGCAGTTATCAAAGTCAGGAAATTAACCTTGCTATGATATCGTTATCTAAGGTGCATCCCTTATTCAAATTTCCAGGCTTCTTTAGAATCTACTTCCATCTGTTGGAATCCAGCATTGTCCCCCCACCCCCAATTCCAGGGGAGAGCGGGGTGCTCCCACTGCTTACCCTCCTGATGTTTCTGGGTGGACCGACACACAGGCCTGCTGCGGGCTGGGCAGAGAGTGGGGGGCAGAGGCTGCCACAGGAGAGATTTGCATTCCCCTCCTGCCTCAACACGTCCTGGGAGCTGCTCTAGGGGCCAAGCATGACAGTCACCAACACTGCCTGGCCAGTGTGTCCCCTTCCTTCCCACCTTCACAGAAAGCTAGGCAGGGGTTCACTTAACTGTGTGTTAGCTGTAACAGCTGCCACTGTTGAGCCCACCACATTGCAGGAACTTTAAATACATCGTCTTATTTAATCTTATCTACCCGGGACAAGATGTGCTATTATCACCATTTTACAGAAAAGGAAGTTGAAGCACAGGGAAGTTCAGTGACTTCCACTGGTCTTGAAGCTAGTAAGGGTCAGGCGCGGTGGCTCACGCCTATAATCCTAGCACTCTGGGAGGCCGAGGCGGGAGGATTGCTTGAGCTGAGGAGTTCGAGACCAGCCTGAGCAGGAGCAAGACTCCCGTCTCTACTATAAATAGAAAGAAATTAGCCAAACAACTAAAAATAGAACAAATTAGCTGGGCACGGTGGTGCGTGCCTATAGTCCCAGCTACTCGGGAGGCTGAGGCAGGACGATGCTTGAGCCCAGGAGTTGGAGGTTGCTGTGAGCTAGGATGACGCCACGGCACTCTACCCAGGGTGGCAGAGTGAGACTCTGTCTCAAAAAAAAAAAAAAAAGAAAAAAGCTAGTAAGTGGCAGAGCCAGGATTTAACCCAGGGCTGATTCCAAAGGCCTTTGCCTTTCCACTACCACTGCAGTGCTTGCTTGATGTGTCTGGAACTTTTCTGACATAAAACATCAGAACGTGGCCTAGTGATCCCTTCCTGGCATGCCTGGCCCAGCTCAAGTGACATATCCTGGGGGAAGTCTTCCTTATCCATTGGCCACGGCCATTGCTCCACTGTCTGGACTTCTGCAGCATCTTTTCTCTCTGGCTGTCCTTTAGTGTGTCTTGCCTTCAGTAATAAATTGATGACAGTTCGATTTGATCAATGGGGATGGGGTGAGCTGGCAGAGACAGTTTGCAGTGAACTGTGTACATACTTTGTGCCAGGCAGTCTGTTCATCATGGTCACAGAAAGCATCTGGTGAAATTCAGCAATTATGGGAGGAGGTGATGAGATCCACTGGTATAAGTGCAGAAACTGAGACTCAGAGGGGCGATGCAATATGTTCAGAATGGTCCAGATCGTGAGAGGCAAAGCTAAAACTCAAATCTACGTCTTGTAACTCTGAGTCCTGGACTCTTTTTACGCGTCCCCAACCCTTTAGCTTTCTAGCAGGATACAGGTGACCAGGGATTTTTCAAAGCTCCCGAAGTGGGTGGCTGCCCAAAAGAGCGTACCCATGCCTCTGCGTGTGAGCGTGGGTGCTGGTGGAGAGACAGCCGCTGTGATGACACCACTTGGGCGGACAGCCGGCATTGCCCACTTCCAGCAGTAGGTGGCAGGATGGGCAAGAGAATAGAAATCTGTCTTTCAGCGTCTCTTGCATTTCGAATACTGAGAACTGCGCACTTCAAACTGTGTACACCTGTCCTCTAATCTTGTCTTTATTTAAATTTTGACATTTCGTTCATCATGGACTTGGGAGACATTAATTTTTATTTTAAAAAAATAGTGCATTTGAATATTACTTACCTTGCTACTGAGTTTTTTTGGCATCCCCATAAATTTTGTACCCCAGGTGAGTAGCTCACTTATCATGAGTCTCTGCCCTGCCTCAGAGGTACGAACTTTCGGGAAGTTCCCAGGGGTTATACAAATGACAATAGTTTTGAGGTACTCAGCTTCCAGATCTTCCACTTCTGTGTTACTCGTTGCTAGAATTGAGCTGCCTGGGGCAGGCCTAGGTGGAGTACTCTTTTCCTATTTTCTCTCCTTACAAAAGGAAGGCCGACTCTTTCAGCCATCCTGAACTTACCATGGTGTGTTGCCCTGGTGTGTGAAAAGCTTTGGAGATGCCACTCAAAAAGACTATTTGAAATATTGATCTAGGTATTGAGCATGTAAAACACTGGGTAAAAAATCCTTTTGCAAATTTAGTGGTTTCCAGTTCTTTGCCTTCAGTAACCTTGGAGGAGAGCCTAATCAAGTGGTCAGTTAATAGACCATACGAAATAATTTCCAATGATAAAAACACTTTTAACCGGTACCTTAGAAGTTCAAGTATTAAGTGATATCACTATAACAAAACTCCCTACAGTCTTACCAACTTACTCATCTGAACAAGGTTTCTCAACATTTTCAACTCTAAAAATGAAAAATAGGAATAATATTGATACTGAATCCTGCTTCATTCTAAGCTACATGAATCAATTTTTAAAAAACCCATTCATCTGATTAAAAGAATTGTGTTTACTTGTATGTATAAAAATATGCGATATGCCTTTGGTGTTTTGATTAATTGTGTGCTGACAGTAATTGTTGGGGAAGTGCCAGCAAAATGAGTTTGAGGAGCACTGGGCTAACCCCTTTCTCTGAGAGCAACGCTACCCTCGGCGTTTGTGAGGGCGGCTGAGCAGGAGGCTTCACGGTTTCCGTGAAGGAACTTTCTGTCGGCTCTTCCTCCTCACCAGTGTGCAGGAGCCCTGTGTGTGGGCCTGGGTGGGCCTTACTCCCTCTCCTCGCCCCGCCACCTCTCTGCTCCTGTTTCTCCTTTCCCATTTGGCTGTTCCTCCAGCCTTCCTCACCCTGGCCCATCCCAGCCAAGGGGAGGGAGAGCTGGAAGGAGGAATTACAGATGGAGACCCTCAGTGTGGAGAAGGGGGTGCCCGGGAGACCTGGTGCTTGTCCTGGCAGCACTGGCTGTGGGACCCTGGAGAAGGCCTGTGGGACACAGCCCCCAGTTTCTTCATCTGCAATATGAGATGTAGACTAGATGATCCTTAAGACTCCTGCATCCAGGATTCTACCCACCGTCCTTGGGAATGTTTTTGCAGAATCCTCTCCAGATCAGAAAGCTATTTGGCGACTATTTCCTCTGCCCATGCAAAGCTCATCCCCTGCACTGGCCATCTCATTATCTGCAGGGACTATTGGCCACGGCTGTGTCTCTCTTGAATCCCAAATGTGTACAAATTTAGATTCCTGGTGGACCCCACCTAGAAGTCCTTAGGCACCTAAGTCAACATGTCCAAAAAGGAACTCAGTGTCTTCCTACTCAAATCTGCTCCTCTTCCTGAGTTCAGCATCTCCATGAAGGTCCTCACCTATCCAGTCATCCAAGCTCCAAACCTGTTGAGTGTCAAAGGTGACTCAGTGTCTGTCCTGAGACACTTGACACTTGAGACAGACAGTTAACATTCAAAAATTTACCAGGACTCTATGATTCTGCCTGCCAGGGAGCTCTCTGATCTGTCTCCTCTTATCTAGTTGCATTGCTACTGGGCTCAATCAAGTCTCTTGCCTGAACCATTGCAGATAACATTCTTCCTGATTCCACAACTTCCCTAGCATCTCTCCCACCCATCCCAAACCATAGCCTTTACTGCATAACCACTAGTTGTATGGCAGAGAAAGGCCGGTTCAAGCTTTGGTTGGAGATGGCCCATGGAAAGCGATCTTCCCTCACACACACACACACCCCTTTGCTTCATCTGAAAACATTTCTCCACTGATGTGTCCCTGATGCCTTAAACCACTAGGCAATAGTGCAATAATTCTTCCTTTGAGTTTGGCTTTGCACAGATAGAGAGGAAATTAAAAACAAAGAAAACTAGCAATGTTTATGCTGACCCAAAGCCCCTTATTATGAGCTGGGAAAGAACCCAGAAATTATCTCATTTAATAGTTATAAACCCAGGAGGTAGGTATTACTAAACCTATTTCATAATTGAGGAAAATGAGGTATAAAGATAACTTTTCTTGAGAACATTCAGTGATGGGACTGGAGTTTCAGCACAGGTCTGTTGTGTTCCAAAGCCCACATACCATCTGCTATATACATTAAGTCCTTCCAGAATCTTGAAGAAAGTTTGCAGATTTTCATGATATGATTGTGAAGGATTTGTAAAGAAGAGTTGATAGTGATGTATATTGGTGGGTAGTAGTGATTGGTGGTACAGAATCCTATAAAAACACATTTTCTACCCATTTTTTCTAGGGCTATTTCTGAGACCTAATGTTAGGTTCTACCTCACCTGCTTTTCATGGGTGACTCATTTATATGCATGGTTTACAAATCTTTCAAGCTGAAAATCATGGAAGAACCTACAAAACAACTAACCCTTTTCTCCACTAGAATGTGCTATTATTTCATGCAAGGTGAGAACACAGCCAGCGAAAGATCAATGCGATCTTCAAATGAAGAAAGTAAGGCACAGGGAGGTTAAATGACCAGCCAAGTCACATAGCTTGCTAGAGAATGCACCCAAGAGTTTCACTTTCTTAGTAGAAAGAA